GGAATTAAAGGTCCAATTGGTAAAGTTTTAGAAGCAGGCTTTATTGAGAAGCTTGCGGGCGGGTTCAATAACTCATGTATTGAGCTAAGGAAACCGCGCGAGGGGAATTTCTGGCTGCATTTTTATATCCCCTGGTGGCAGGCACAGCTGCACACAGGGACTTCAAAGGGAAGCGCTCATTGATTTTATCTATAGGTCCGGGATGGGTGGAATAAACACATCTTCAAGGGATGCAGGGAAGTGGTCGTTAATCTTATCTATAGGTACCGGGGTAAGTGAAGTAAACATCTTCAAAGAACATTCTTTCTCGGGGATGTCTGGTTCTCAGAACTGGTGATTTTCAGCGAGGGGAGGGGAGGCCGATGTGAGGGAGGCCCATGAGAGGTGAGTTCTGAGACCCAAGAAGGTGCCGGATTCAAAATGGAGTCCCTTGTGCCAAGACCAGGCAGTAATCATCATACTTTTCTTGTCCTTCCAATCAGGGATAAAGTAAACATCTGTTGATTATTAGATATCAGATCTTGTGCTAGATTGTTATGTGTCAGGCCCTAGGACATCCTGGTGAGTAAGGAACAGATTCAGTTCTCTAAAAACTCATAATTTAAAGGGAGAACATTGGCCTGTGGGGGTTATGTTATGATATGATGGGAGATGACAGTATGTAAAAACTGCTATGAAAATATGAAGAAACTATTATTTCTGTATTGGAAAGTCAGGAAAGGCTTTCCAGAGATAATGACATTTAAAATAAACAATATGCACTCACTGCCATGGAGTTAAGTCTGGCTCAGCAACTGTATAAGATCGAGTAGAACCTACACAATTTCTGAGACTCTACAGAAGTAGACACTGGGACCCTCATGAGAATGAAAGCGTCCTCTATTTAAAATAAATATAAACTAAACTAGCTAAATAAAGGAAAAGAGGTATAAACTAGCACAACTTTTTTTTTTTTTTTGACCACCACAACTTTTGTTGAAGCAGCTTGGTCTTAATAATTTCCAGGGAGTAGCAGCACGTCATCATAGCTGTCTTTGTTAGGTTATTACATCGAGCTAAGCATGCTGCTATTTTCAGTGGCTGATCCCTCAAAACTGGGCTTTCTACTTCCATAAGTGTTACAGTCTCAGAAACTCAGAGGGGCAAGTTCTATGCTGTTCAGTAGGGTTGCTATGAGTCCGCACTGACTAGATGGTAGGGAGTTTGGTTTTGTTTCAGTCCCTCAGAAGTGGACAAACTTTGTAGTCTGTTCTTAATCTGGAAGCTTTGCTGAAGCCTGTTTACCCTGGGAAACCCTGTAACCATTGAAATACTGGTGCCATATTCTCCACTTCACAGAATCATGGAAGCCACCACAGTATGACAAACAGACAAGGAGTGTATCCTTTCCCCATACTCAATTAATCTGTATGCCGAGGAAATGACCTAAGAAGCTGGTCTAGATGAAGGAGATTGAAGCATCGGGCTTGGAGGAAGGCGTACTAACACACTACAATAGACAGATGACACCACCTGGCTTGCTGAAAGGGAGGAGAACTTGAATGAAGCGTTTACTGATGAAGCTCATAAACTTGCAACTCAGTGTGAAGAAAACCAAAGTGCTCACAACTGGACCAATAGATAACACCATGATAAGCAGAGAAAAGACTGAAATTGGTGAGGATTTCATCTTGCTTGGGTCCACAATCAATGATCATGGAAGCATGCTCCGTGAATCCAACAATGCCCTGCACTGGGATAATCTGCTGGATCAGACCTCTTTAATGCTGGCGAACAAGGATGTCCTCTGCTGCACCAAGATGTACTGGCCCAAACCACGGTATTTTCAATAGCCTCCTCTGTGGGTGAAAGTTGGACATTGAACAAGGAAGACTGCAAAAAAAAAAAAAAAGGAAACATTTGAATTATGGCGCTGGTGAGGGATTTTGCAAGTACTTTGGACTGCTAGAAGAATGAACAAATCTGCCCAGGAAGAAGTACAACCAAAACATCCCTAGAAGCAAGGATGATGAGATGTCATCTCTCATACTTTTCAACAGGTTTCCCGGAGAGCCTGGGCCCTGGAAAAGGACAGCCTGCTTGGTAAGGTAGAGGCTCTGTAAGAGAGGAAGACCCTGGAAGAAGTAGATTAGTAAAATGGCTGCAACAATGGGCTCAAACAACAATTGTGAGGCTGGCACCGTTGCTGTGAGTCAGAATGGACTAATGGCACTTAACAATAACAGGCATTCTGCACACATAATCTAGTGTGTGAATACTATTACAGCCCTCACCTTATGGATGAGGAACATCAACTGTTGATGAGATTAACTAGCCCTAAGTTTTGTAATTGCCAAAATCCAAGTCCTTTTCCTTGTTCTATCCTGTTACATGATGGATACTTTTGGATAGATGATTATCTTTTTGGACTAGATGTGCACTTGAGTCTATCTCAAGATGGACCATAAAGTCCATCTTAAGAATATATTTGATGACTTGAACAACACTAATGACCAAAGAATTCATTAAGGACATCGTACATGAAGAAAGCAAAAGGTCATTAAAAAGGAAAAAGAAAAGATGAAGGTGGATGTCAGAAAGAAACTGAAGCTTGCTCTTGAACAAAGTAAATGGAAGAAATGCTGAAATAAAAGAGTGGAAGAGATTTCAAAATGTAACTTGAGAAGACAAAGTATTATAAGAAAATGTACAAAGACCGGAAGTTAGAGAGCCAAAAGGGAAGAACACTCTCAGCATTTCCGAAGTTAAAAGAACTGAAGACAAATTCAAACTTTGACTTTTGCACGATTGAGAGAGTCTAGGAGCAAAATATTGAATGATATAGAAAACATCAGAAGATGGAAGGAACACAGAATCACTTTACCCAAAAGAACTGATTGATATTCAATCATTGCAGGAGGTAGCATATGATCAATAACTGATGGTATTGAAGGAAGAAGTCCAAGCTATGCTGACAACATTGATGGAAAATAAGGTTCCAGGAATGGTTAGGATTACCATGGAAACACTTCAGCAAATCCATGTAATGTTAGAAATACTGACTGGTTTATGTCAAGCATTCTGGAAGACAATTACCTGGTCAGCTTGTCTGGAAGAGCTCCAGATTTGTGCCACTTCTGATGACGGATGATTTTACAGAATACAGACATTATCAGACAATAACAGTAACATCACACTCATGAAAGTTTGCTGCGGGTAATAATTACAGCTATACATCATCAGATAATTGCTAGAAATTCAAGCCGGATTCTGAAGAGGACCTGGAATGAAGAAGATCCATTAATAATGTCAGATTAATCTGCTGAAAGTAGAGAACACCAGGAAGATACTTGTGTTTTATTGATCAGGCAGAGGTAGATTGTTTACACTGTGGATTGTAACAAATTGAAGGCTGATAGGCCTAGAACGCTTAATTCTGTTCATGTAGAAGCTATACATAGGTCAAGAGGTAGCTTTTCAAACAGTACGGGAATGCTGCATGGTTTAAAATCAGGAAAGGTATGCATCAAGGTTGTATCCTTTCACTAGATCCTTGCCTCTAGAGGCAAGGATGGCAAGAATTCATTTTAGGTACTTTGGACTTATTGTCAGGAGAGACCAGTCCCTGGAGGAGGACGTCCTGCTCGGTAAAGCGCATGGGCGGTGGAAAAGAGGAAGGCCCTCAGTGAGACGGACTGACAGCATGGCTGCAGCAGTGGACTCAGTCCTAGAAACCACTGTAAGGGTGGTGCAGGATCACGCAGTGTTCCAGTCTGTTGTGCACAGTAACAATTTAATCTGAGAAGCTGGACTGTAGAGGGAAGAATAGCATTCAGGACTGAAGGAAGAATCATTAACAACCTGCAGTATGCAGGTGACATCATCATGCTCACTGAAAGAGAAAAGGATTTTAAGCACTTACTGATGAAGATCAAAGACTATAGCCTTCAGTACATGTCACGCCTCAGCGTAAAGAAAACAAGAACTCTTGCAACCGGACCAGTAAGCAATGGAGAATAGATTAAAATCGTCAAGGGTTTCATTTCACTTGGATCCACAATCAACATCCATGAAAGCAGTCGTCAAGAAATCAAAAGACTTATTGCACCGGACAAACTTGCTGCAAAAGACCTCTTTAACGTGTGGAACAGCAAAGATGTCAGGCTGAGCACTAAAGTATACCTGACTTAAGTCATGGTATTTCCAATCACTTCACATGCATGTAAAAAGGCCGGATCACCATGAGTAGGGAAAACCAAAGAAGTATTGATATATTTGAATTGTGATGGTGGTGAAAAGTAATGAATATACCTTAGACTGCTGGAAAATAAGTCTGTCTTGGAAAGAGTATAGCCATCATCTTCAGAAGTGGGGATGACAAGGCTTCACCTCGTTTTCTTTGCATTTGGCGTCGGAAGGACCAGTCCGTAGAGAAGGACGTCACGCTTGATAAGGTGGAGGCTCAGGAATAAAGAAGAAAGGTCCTCAATGAAACGGATTGACAGAATAGCTGCAACAGTGAGGTCAAACACAGGCACTTGTGACAATGATCCGGGACCAGAATGCTTTTAGAAACTACGTACTTGATAGCACCCAACTATAACCATATCACATCTTTACTTAGGCCAAAGTATTCGCTAATCAAACAATATAGTAGTGTAATTCCCTATGTCTGTGTATGCTCGGAATCACGTGAACTTCTGTTTAGTCTTAAGATATAGCTCTAAAACCCACCCCTTCCACACCCTTTGAAAAATAAACCCTACTCCCCAGGTAATGTAGTCTGCTCTTTCCTCTATGCCTTTACAGCACGTTTATCCCTGTCTTTGTTATAGCATTTAGCATTTTGTGTGGTGGTTGCTTTTTTGTGTGCTTGTTTCTTCTAGTAGACCAGCTGTAGGCAAGATGACTAGGTTCATGTCATCTGTATATTCAGAGCATCTAGTACATTGTGCCTAATGTTTGTTGGATTGAATTCTTTCCCTTTTCTCATCATTTATCATTTTGTTTTTCTCCTGTAGATAACCTGCTGGGAATCTCTTGGGTCGACAGTACATGGATCCCCATTTTGAACAACAATAGTGTCTTGGACTACTTCTCAGAAAGAAGTAACCCTTTTTATGACAGGACATGTAATAATGAAATGGTCAAAATGCAGAGACTAACATTAGAACATTTAAAGTAAGTTGTTTTTAGAACTTGGCAATTAGAATTTTACAGTGAATGATTCAGTTTGTTTTTCATGAAATACACAGTAGAACTTTTGGAAGAACTGGATTTATACTAAGATGATGTGAGAGAGTTATTATTAATCAGTTGGAACTGAGAAAATCTTGTTCTAAAAATTTCATGTATTACTGTCAAGTGGAGTATATAACTAGTAGGTTAAATGTACATCTGATGAGTGATTTTTAGGACATTATCTCCATTCTTGTTCTCATCCTTATTAGCTTCCCATTTCTCCCCATCTTCCCCTGCCATACCCTTAAGGAACCATTAATCCAGTTCCTGTCTCTATAGATTTACCTCTCCTGGATTTCATATACTGAAAAACATTTAAAAAGTAAATAAATAAACGCAGAAACAAAAACTAACAATAACAAAAACAGATAAAAACCGTAATTTAAAGAAAGCAGAAAATATTAAAAGCTAAATGCATCATAATGATAGAGTGCTAAATTTTAACCTAACTGCACCTGCAACAATTCACTTTGCAATGCATTCTAATAGCAAGGCTGTTCACATTCCTGGTCCATGGTTAGAGAGGATTAACCAGGGCCTCAATCTATGTGAATTTTCCCATCACTTTTTTAAAAATTTAACTAAAATAGCAAAAGGGAGATCATGTGATAAGAATAGTACATTTTGACCTGTGTGTGCCATAATCAACTTTACAATGCTCTCTGATAACAGGGTTGTTACAACCCTGAATGATGATCAGAGGGGATTCACCAGAAGTTTAATCTATGTGTGGACCCTGAAAATGGATTTTAGGTCCCCCCTGTCATCCATGGCTTTCTATAAACCAGGTTTTCACAATTTAAGCTCTAAAACCATTTCCTCCATCAAATATGGATTTTATTAATTTGCAATCCTTGGATCATACATGTGGACTTAGTAGATGGCTGCTTGTTTGAAAACAAGCCTTTAAGACTCCAAATGCTATATTCTTGCCGTTAGCTGGGCACCATCTGGTTTCTTCACTACACTTTGCTGTAGCACCCATATCTTTAGTGATCTCTTCATGAGGGCAAGCATGGAGCAGGGCCATGTCATAAGTACTAATTGTCCTTGGATTGGGGATAGAATTAAGTGCAAGCCCAACATCCATTCATGCATTTATGGTTTAGATATGTCTCCGGTTCACCTCAGAGACACCATTCTTAGTCATCTTCTACTGCCATCAAGTCAGTGCTGACTCATAGGAACCCCAGGAGCATGGTAGAACTGCCCCTGAGAGTCTCCTAGCTTGCACATCTTCACAGGAGTAGACAACCTCAAACTGCTAACCTTGTGCTTAGCAGCCCAATGTGTAGTGGATGACGAATTTTTGTGAAAAAATTTTGTTGCAGTTTGAAAGACTAGTCCGTTTTCAACAGCAAACCTTCAAAACAAAACAAAAAGCCTGTTGCCAAGAGTCAGTTCCAACCCACCAACCCTCAAAGGAGAGCAGAACGGTCCCATGGGGTTTCCGGGGCTGAAATGTTTGTCAGGGCTTGTGGCCGCTCCTTTCTTTCATGAATTGGCTGTTAGGTTTCCACTGTGATCATTTGGGCCACTGCTTCACTGGAGCTCCTTAACGACAAACCTAGACAGTTTTCATACATTTTACCGTGTTGCTATTCTTTTATAATGTTGTGTAGTAATTTGAATGTTCCGCAGAATTATTTACAGGGCTTTCCTAAACCTCTGGGTGCCTGTGTTCTGTTTTCAGTCAGATGGTTGGAGTGGAATACATCCTTTTACATGCTCAAGAACCCATTCTTTTTATTATTCGGAAGCAACAGCGGCAGTCCCCCACTCAAGGTAAAACGTGAACTTCAGGTGGAGGTGAGGGCTAGTCATGAGGCGGATGTTTCTAAAAATGTTGTTGTCAAGGCCTGTTCAAATGTAAAATACTCTTGTCATTTGACATAATGCTTTCACTCTTAAGATTACAGCTGCAGAAGATAGCCTACATATTTTGAAAAGATTTATATAGGAGGATATTATTCACTGAAACCTTGCTTATAGCATCTGTTAGAATATACTTAGTAGGAAAGACAGACAGGGAAACTCAATGGCACGAGACAGGTTTATTGGAGGAAACCAGAGAGGGGCCACTGATCTGAGTCAAAAGGCTTCTCTGTACGGACTAGCAGGGTTTTATAGGACTAGTCAAGGGGGGGTACGTATGTGGGTGGGAATGTGTGATTTGGCTAATTCTGGGAACTAGGATTATCAGCAGGTAGGTGGGAGATTACTGAATAAGATGTTTCTCAGGTGGGTGTACTTGCTGTCTGAGCAGGAAATCACTGAACAAGACATTCCTGCAGGTGCGAATCTCTGTGAATTATTCTCCCTTCAAAAAAAGATAGGAAATAATTTGCATGGCCATCAACAGAAGTCTCGTGAAATGGACGTATAGATCCATACAGTGGTATACCATATGGCTTTTAAAAAGCAGGTGCCTGGGAATTTTATAAAAATAACGTGGGAGCATAGTTTCCTTACTCAAAAACAGTTAAAATTTGGTCAGTGGATGCCCCTCTCTGATGCACGCTGGACCTGATCTGGTTTTCAACATTTTCCATATTTTTGTTCTGTTTTGTTGTATTAGGGCATTGCTCAGAGGTGTCATGTCATTGGGGGTCACCCTCCTGAAGTAGTGCTATAGGTTTCTCTGTGTTTCGGTATATGAAACCCAGGATTGGTAAGCTTATAGGGACAGCGAGTAGAATAAGGGTTTTTGGGTGTGGGGTACAGTGGTGGTTAGGGGTAAAAGGAAGATGATGTCAAGGAGGCCAGGAAGAAAAAGAATGTTCGGTTGAGAATGATGAGGGTAACTAATGTACAAATGTGCTTTGTACAATTGATGTATATATGGATTGTGATAAAAGTTGTATGAGCCCCCAATAAAATGATAAAAAAAAAGAAAAAGAATGTTCAGATATTGCTGTGGTAGCAATTGTACAAGACTGCTTGACTTGGTTGCACTATGGAATGATGGGATATAAGAATTAACTCCCAATTAATACATTTTTAAAAAAAGATAAAAAAGAACCCACAATTTAAGTGGATGTGTTAGGACAGAAAACAAAGGGAAGCAACACGGTGGTGCCTGTTGGATCCGGGAACAGTAGAACTCTGGAATAGGCAATAGCTACTTATTTTGTCTCACATGTGTTAGACATGGTGAGTGAGACCAGTCTCTGGGAAAGACATGCTGGGTACAGAAGCAGGGCGGTGAAAGACAGGAAGGCCCTTGGGAAGATGGATTGACGCAGTGGCTGCAGCAGTGGGCTTGCACATAACAATATTTCGGATGGTGCAGGAGCAGGCAGTGTTTCGTTCACTTGTAGCTTAGGGTTGCTGTGAGCCGGAACCTACTCGGTGGCACCTTCCAGCAGTGTCACCTCTTCCTAGGAAAGACGGCAGACTAGTTGAGAAGAGCTGCCGAAACGGTTACGGCCTTTTCCCTCTTAAATCAGGTCAACTCAGAGGTCTCAGTAGTAGGAAGGGCTTTCCGTCTGGCCCTGAAGAACTCTGACAAGTCCCCTCACAGCGCTTCTGTATCAGATAGCATGCGGAGGGGCAACTGTTGGGACTGGAGTGACGATGACCAAAGTGAGGGGGAATAGAGCCAAGAGAGCGCAGAAGACAAACTCCCACAGGTGTTTGTTTAGCCCGGAACAAAAACAATGCAAGTTAGAAAAGGTTTTGTGAACCCTGTATTTTTAACTTGGAATAAAAACAATGCAAGTTAGAAAAGGTTTTGTGAACCCTGTATTTTTAACCTGGAATAAAAACAATGCAAGTTAGAAAAGGTTTTGTGAACCCTGCCTCATTAAATGATGTGACCTTAAAGGAACAAAGCAAGCAAACAAAACTTGCTATAAGAAATTAGGAAGCAAAGAGCATGTTGTTTAAAGGGGGAAAATTTTATCATTAGACTTTTTGACTGATACGTTGTTAAAAGAAAGTAGGAAAAGATAACTCAAGGAAAAAACAATTCAGATAGGATTTAAGTCCACTCTAAACCGACTTTCAGGTAAAAAGGGCATAGACATGCTGTTATGAACATATATAAGTTCATGAATATTGTTCCCGTGAGAGCTCTTCTTGAAGAAACTAGTAGTGAGTGAACTTCAGACAGACTCATAGAGAAACAGCAATATAGAACTAACCAAAACCCAAACAGCCATTGCCACTGCCAGACTTGGAATGCCTAGTAGATTTGAACTGCTGGTCTTTATGTTATCAGCTGGGTGCTTTAACCACTGTGCCATTAGGGCTTCTCTAAGGATTACTGTACACACATACAAAAGCAAACCAATGCCATTGAATCATAATCGACTCATAATCATCTTATAGGATAGGGTACAGCTGCCCCTTTGGATTTCAGAGACTTACATTTTCACAGGAGCAGACAGTCTCATCTTTCTCCAGCAGTGGGGCCGGTGGGCTTGAATCGCCGACCTTGCAGCTAGCCGTCCAACACTTACCTAACAGAGCCGCCAGGGCAAATGCTTTTTAGACTTTGTGGGTCTCCACCAACTAGTACCAATGTATCCATCAGTAATAGTAGATAAGCAGGTGTGGCAGTGTTCCAATCAAACGACAACAATGGGCATTACAAAACTCTAAGGTTTACTGTGACGAAGTAGACAGCCTTTACTGAAGCAAGACTTGTATTCACAGCTGTTCCCAAATTCTTTTTTCCCCAATTATCAGTTATCCCGCTAGCCGATTACTACATCATTGCTGGAGTGATTTATCAGGCACCAGACTTGGGATCGGTTATAAATTCTAGAGTGGTAAGTGTCTTTCTGTTCTTTAAACAAACAAACAAAACAAATCTTTCATTTGAGGTCCTTTGTTTCTAAGAATTAAACAGAAACTCCTTTATTTTCTAGAAATTAGTATATAACCCAGAACCAAACTCCCTGCCCTTGAGTTGATTCCATCAGCAATGCAGGACAGGCTGGAGCTCCCGGTGGGTTTCTGAGATGAACTCTTTATGGGAGGGGAAGCTCATCTTTCCCCCACAGAGCCGCTGGTGGCTCAAACTGCTGACCACATATAGCAGCCCAGCGTGCATAGGGTTTACTATTTGAATGTGATGAACATTGTTTATTTTGAGTCAGTTCAGTGATAAAAATAGGTGCCACAATCCCAGCTAGGTAACAGTTTAGGTGCTGAGAAACAAGACATGTTGATCTAGATAATTTTGAGCATTTACTGTGGAAATTTTAGTGAACCTAGTGAGAAATTCATACTTTGTTTTGTTTTTGTAAGCTTACCGCAGTACATGGCATCCAGTCAGCTTTTGATGAAGCTATGTCCTACTGTCGGTATCACCCCTCCAAAGGGTACTGGTGGCACTTTAAAGATCATGACGAGCAAGGTAGGTAAAGACACAAAGCCCAACAACCAAGCCCATTGCCATCAAGTACATCCCAACTCATGCCAACCTTACTGGGCAGCAGAATTGCCCCCTAGGGTTTCCACGGCTGTGACTCTTTGTGGAGGCAGACTGCTACCTCTGTCTCCTGTGGAGCAGCTGGTGGGTTGGACTCTCCTACCTTTTGGTTGCACTTCAGTGCTTGACCACTGTGCCACCAGGGTGCCTTGGTAAGAAGACACTTGCTAGGTGCTGTGGAGTTTGTTCCAGTTTACAGCGACCCTCTGTTCAACTAAATGAAAAGCTACCCGAGCAGCTTTCTCTGAGCCCATTTTCAGCCGGGGTGTCAGTCCATCTCCTTGAGGGTCTTGTTCTCTTTCATTGACCTCTACTCAGCCTACTGCTCTTCTTCAGGGACTAGTCTGTCCCATAACCTGTCTAAACTACATAGATGAAATCTGGCCTTCTTCACTTCTTGGCTGTACTTCTTCCAAGACCGCTTTCTTTACTGTGCTTGCAGTCTGGTGTATTCAATATCCTGCACCAACATGGTGAGGTCCTCCAGTGACATCTTTGAGATTTGCCCAGTGTAGTAAGTCCTTTGATTTCCTGACTACTGCTTCCATGTGTGTTAATGAAATCTTTGACAATTGCAATCTTTCTCCATTTATCATGATATTGCTTATTGGTCCAGTTGTAGAGATTTGGGCTGTCTTTATGTTGAGGCTGTAGTCTGTGATCTTCAGCACATGCTTCAAGCCCTCTTCACATAGAGGAAACCAGGTTGTGCCATGGGTATCACGGGCTACTCGTGATTCTTCGCTCACCTTGATGCTGTCCATGTTCCTTGTAGTTTTGCGTTCAGACTGAGTAAGTTTGGTGAGAGGATATAATCGTGACACATGGCTTCTGCAACGCGAAACCACGCAGTTCCCTTTGTTGAGTTTGTACAAGTTCTAAGGAGCAAAATTACTTTTGGGGGCAATTAATGTACTTACATAAATAGTGTGCTCTTGCATATGAAAGTGTGCATAGGGTGATAAGAATTGTACGAGCCCTTAATAAAATGATTTTAAAAAAATTCAAATACAGTGTTTGGAACAGTAAATGCCTAATAAAAAGTAACTGTTATTTAAAAAACCAAAAAGAAAGTGTCCATAGGAAACTAATACTCAAAGGAATCGAGCCGTTTTCACCACCAAAAACATTATGCATGTTCTTTGTGCTCTGGAATTCCCATTCTTCACAATGTTAGCGCATCATTTGTTATAAGCTGCACAGGTACATGCCTTTGCATAGTCCGTAAACACAAGTAAACATTTAGATCAGTGGTTCTCAACCTTCCTAATGCCACGACTCTTTAATACAGTTCCTCATGTTGTGGTGACCCCCAACCATAAAATTATTTTCGTTGCTACTTTATAACTGTAATTTTGCTACTGTTATGAAT